TTCTTACGAATATTCGTCCTGTTGAGTGCAAAACTGTATGGAAAATTCATTCTAGTCTTAAATGTTCATACTCTTCTACACGTAGCTGATGACGTCATCAATTTTCAATGTCCAGTGAGTGATATGAATGCATTCCAATTTGAGGGTGCATTAGGAAAATTAAAAACTATGTTGAGGACTGGATATCGTCCGTTACCTTAAATCTGACGATCTGAATCGACGCCTTCATGAACAATTTTTTGCTAACAGTGCAAAATCCGAAATACCGCCGGTTGTCAATATTTTATCCGAACTTCGCCCTAGTGCATCTGGAAAGAGGATAATTAAGAAAATTTCATATAAAAATACGATTCTCACTAGCAAACCTCCAAACAATTCAATCTTACTAAAAACCGGTGAAATAATAGAAATTGAAGAGATGTTTATTTTGCCAACTGAGCCTAAAGTCATCAGGATATCTGGACGATCGTTAAGAATCACAAAACCGAAGTTCCAATATCCATGCGATTCATCAGTACTAAAAATGTTTTATGTATCGAGACGACGAAGGAAAAAGTTTTGCTGCAAATTGCAGGACGTTTGGCATAAGATGGTCACTCTGGATCTCAGCTCAGATAAAGAGGAAGACATCTACACTATGCCACTTCTTCACTCATCAGCCTAACAGTTTATGCTAATACCATAATGATGAATTGTAAAGAAGTAACAGTAACTTCAGCAGCTTTAGACGACCAACGTTCTGTCCTTATAAATCCCAGTCAGGATAACTCAACAACGAAGGTATGCCACAACATTAGGTCGAATCCACTACCAGCCTCAGATATCAATTCCTTCTCTGCATATCTAACCTCTTCAGCATCTCCGAGCAGAGTACCCTTCAAATCAGCATCAACGTCTCCACTACCAGGACCACAGTAATTATATTATGAAATTAATCATTTTTCTTTGTTATTAGAGTAAATTAAGTTTTTTTATTCATCAAATTTACATCGACTACAACTGAAAGCCAATCAATATGATTTCATTTAATTTAGTTACAGAAGAGTCTGAAACGCAAATGAGTTCACAAACTGATGTCTTTCAAGTAATTCTTTGACTTGCAAACTACACTTGATCTACTGTTAATTTGTAATTGAATAAATAAGAGGTTTATGTTATCTATCTTCTCAAATTTCATGAGTAATTCTTTACTGTTAGTTGAGTCAATTCGACTTATTCAAATATACACGTTTACTTCAGTGGAGCAGGTAAACTAATAAAAGTTACTGGAAGTTATGTAAATTCACGAACCAAATAAACCATAGAATAATACACAGAAATATTAACCGTTGCATAAGAATTCGAATTTTTTCGAATTTTTCACGATTTCTAAACTAACATGAATCGAGTTTAATAAATTGATAAATAATCAACAATCCATCAAACTAACACCATGTTAATTTCTATCGTCACCAAAACATACGTGATATGACATAGCAGTGAGGTTATAAACGTGCGCGCATGCGTGGAGTCTTGACCATACGTACATCCGAGCCGGCCGGTCACGTTGCTTTACACCGGATTGAGTAGCGGGCATTCTCGAAGCTTCTTCTGAAGCATCCGATTTTCTGGTTCAGCGTGGTAGCAAAATACGTGAATAAAAATTTCTAACAAGTAAAAATGACACAAAAGGTAAGTCTCATTACCGATAACAATTGAAAAATATAAAAGATGAATGAACGCATGTAAGCTGTAGTAACGGACTAGTTGTGGTTTGTGTAAATTTTGCAGGTTAGAAAATTTTTAATATCCATGTTCTTCCAAATTTTCTGAATGGAAAACAATTGATTTTTAATACTGATCTCTAGTATTGAATAGTTATAGATTATGACATGAATAATAGTTGAAACGAAAAAAGTATCAGTCACCGAATATGAGTTGAGTGTATAAACGCTTGAATAGGAGGGAAGAAATGAACGATTTCTAATAATTTTAAGGTGTCAATGATATCCGTGATGAATTATAGCATTTTGAAATCGATAAATCCCTATTTGAAATGAGTTCAGGCTACAGGATATGTTCTATTATGTAATAATATAATAAATGCGATTTTTGTAAATTATGTTGTAGAAGGGGTTCCAAGGAAAGGATTACGAGTATTATTTAGTCCACTTTTATGAAGATGGAACTGAGGGAATTTTCGATGTAGCTCTTCAGAAATGGATTAGCTGGAATGATGACGACAAAATATTCTATTGTAAATTTCACGCGGGGAAGAGTGAAAATGAAAACAAACTGGCCACTTCCTTATTGAAACAGGCTCAATTACCTCCCAAACATTGGAAAAAATATCCAGTGAAGATTAGAGGAGGAGCAAGTGAGAAAAATATTCAGATTGCTGCTTCCTTTCGGAAATTTATCAAAATATTTATATTGCCATTTTATTAACCATTTCGAAACAGACACATATGAAGCCACACTGGAACGATTGATTCATTTGAAATCATATAAACAAACACAGATTGGTGACCTGCGAAAAAGGCTCCAGAGAAGAAGAATAATCGCGAATCATGACCAAATTGAAGAACTTTTTTCTGCCATTACAGACACTGACAAATCTTTATCGTCAGGGGTCGATTCTGCTAGTGATGGTGAGAATAATAATTATTTAATTTATAGAAAAATTAGGATTATTTATTCATAAGTTTGAGTCCCGCTCAAGTTTAAAGAACAGATCTGCTTCTCTGCGAAATTTGAACTCTAAGCTCGATTGCGATGGCCATGGTTCGTTATTAAGGAAGAAAAATGCATGTGAGTTAATTGACTTTTTTCAATTGGATGGTCGCTGTCATTAATTTCAAATTACAATAATATTAAAACGATATCATCCTTCATCTCGACAAATTTAGCATTTTTCGAAATTCTAGGTCCAGTTCGGAGCCCAAACACGATGAATGAGCTCTCCACTTCTAAGACTCGTCCAAGAAGCTCAGTCTCTATGTCCCATTCTCCACAAAGAGACTTAAGGTCTCCAAGGACTACATTCCAATCTCCTAAGAAAAATTCCAGCTGTTCAAAAACCATCAATCATTCAAAAAATAAGCATACCACGCCAACGTCTACTAAACTAAAAGATAGCAGTTCTATTCCATCATGGAGGCAAACCATGAAATAAAGGACAAGGAATTAAATTCAGCATTAAGTAGGGCTATCAATAATTACAAATCCTCCAAGAAACGTCCTAACAACGACGATGCCATTCAAGATGCCAATGGCAATAGGGAGAACTGAGGACCTGTAGACCATGAGCCACTCAATCTCCAGTATTTTATGAAGAACTTGACATTAAAATAATTAAAATTATTTGAAGATTTAAAACATGTTCTTATGCTTTAACGATAGGTTCTAATTATGTTGTAGCCGTTTATATAATAAATGTTCATATTATAAAGGAGTTGAGACATAAATAAAAATCAATAAAATTGAATCCAATTTAGATCTTTCAACCTTTATCTGAACTTGATTACCTAAACCTGATCCAATTCAGAACCGGAGACTTGATCCAGTCTGGAACCGGTGACTGGATCAAATCCTGATTAAAAAAGCCGTTACACTACTGATCAGGGCTTGACCCAGTCATCGTCTCATTTCCTGATCCAACATCACGCGCAACTTGATCCAATCCTGCCTTGGACCTGATCACAATTTCCACTCGGGATATTCGGGTCTCGTCTAGATTTGTAGTCTTTATCTATCATGCGAAACATTTCCTATTGTTCGTTCGTGACCAGCATTCAGCCATTTTTTAACGATTTTTATTGTTTTAAAATAATCAAGTGTGGGGAGAAAATAGAGAACAAAAACGTGATGACATTGTGTAAGTATTAATTCTCATTTTTAACACATTTTACTGCATAAACGCTACAATTGATGTTCATTTGTATGATTTCGGATGTATTCTAATTTTCATGATGAATCATGTCATCTTAATATTTATTGAACCGAATGAATGAATAGATGAAGCTTGCATGGATTTGATTAATGACAAACACTTCTTTTAATTGAGTTGAGGCATGGAGAAAAATCCATCAATTAAGGTTAAGAGACACCACGAGGGGGAGAGGATTTTCATTTTTTGAGTATTTTTGTAATTATCTTTGTCGCATTATGTTAAATGTGATGCTTCTGGCACTTTGACCACACCTAATATGTAAATTTTTCGACCAGTTTTATGTGAGAAATGCATAAGAAATAAGAAGAAATCCCCTCTACCTGGCGATTCAAATTAACGTTACCTCTTTTGCAACTTCAATTTCGGGTGGTGTAATCGTATCCGTACACAGATCGATGCGAATGTTTGGATGGTAGAATGCGAGGTTTAGAATTATCATTTTTTTTTCAGTAAAATGATAAGTGGTAACTGACAGACTGTCTATTACTTCATCTATCTTTTAATTATCTACTAATTCATGGAATATTCTGATTGTTTCATCTTTAATTTCACCTCAGAGTGGGAGTACTTTAAGTGACATCGGTCGTGGTCAATTTCTTTCTTTTACAGAATATTTAAAAAATTATAATTTATTTTGCACAGGAAGGACGACGACAACATTTTCAAAGACCTGAGATTGTTGCAAATGTAAGCATTGAATTTTAATTAAATTAAATATTGCCAATCGATGAGTGACTAATTATTGACAATGGATTTTTGATAAATTCGTACTATTTTCGGACAGCTCATTCACTTGCTACTAAAGCAAACGACAGATGGCCGAAATGTCCTTAAATTTTATGAAAAACGCGGGCGATTGAGAAAGAACTTAAGGAAATTACCCAGTCGCCTAATTGTAGGTCGTGAAAAAGATAGGCAATTGGCAGGATTATTCGATGAGGTGGAACAGGTAGAACGATTCAGGTAAATCAGAGCTTAAATATAACACATGGACCTGATGGAAAAATTGTCAACCAAAGGAAGAAACTAAATACTCGAGGCACTCTTTATGAACGTTACATTTATTCAGTGCGTAAATTGAAGGACCAGGAACTGCTGGTACGACCAGAGACACCAAGGGTTACTGAAGAACCTGAGGAGGATCCTAATAGTGCGTTAATGCTTTGAATTTTGCACTTTGCATCAATTTTTAGTGTTAAAAGGGAGTCCAGTATAAAATTTAGCAAGGTTTCTCGTTATTTTTCTTTTTTTTTTTAGGGAACCAACAAGATGCTGAAGACTGGCTAACCACTCATGTTGGACCACCAGACACAGTAAAAGATTTCTGGACCATTGCACGGCCGATACGACGACGATTGTTGCAAGACAATATTACTGTACCTGAATATTTCCAACGATTCCCAGCATTAAAAGCTGCACTCGGTGCTGAGCTGGTAAGATTAAATATAATTTGTTATATAATTCTAATTATTATAAATACTGATGTCATACTAATTCTTTCTAGCTATCCCGTGACTTCAGTGTGCCTTATCCTGCTGGTGGACGTAATTTTCGTGATCGATGGAACATTGGAAAAGCTGTCATTACTGAGGCCCTTACTGATTGTTCCAGGCTAAAGGGTGAGGATCCGAGCTATTACAGGGCATTACCAGCGCTTCCAGAACATAACAATCATTCTGTTATTCTCTATTAATTGCCATACTTGATAAGCCCTCCAAGATCCAGAAATCAAGTGAGAAGAATCTCAATAAAAGAAAAACAAGACTCTTTTCTGATTCATGCACGGCCACCAGCTGACATCGTGGGAGTTTTGGAGAACCAACGTCAGGTTTATGTTGCTACAGAATCCACACTTCAACCAGTCCCCGTAATAGTTGGGCCCATTGCAAATCCTGGGGCATTTTACGTTTATATTCACGATCCCGTAAAAAATCCAACAATCTACCAAGCAACAACCATACTTGAAGCTTTGACAATGACAGTGAAAATTGTATTTGCTTTAAATTGTTCTTATTCAGCTAGGGCTGGAGCTCTCTGGATTTTCATTCACAGAGCATTTCTAGAAATTGAAGTACCAACAGATTGTCTGAGTAGAGATACAACTACATTGCTAGAGACGATTTCCCAACGATTACCGGGTATAGATGAAAATATCAATCCGAATATAGCATAAATTTCAAGATGTTTGCCTGTAAAACGTGTAAGATGGAGTTTTATGCATATGAAAGGTTTTTAACTCATTTAAGGATAGGTCATTCCGATGGCAATAGTTTCAAATGCGGCTACGTAAAATGTTTAGAAATTTTAAATGTTTAAGCTCAGTACGATCTCACATGAAAAGACAACATGGAGGTGCTAAAAGACCACCCCCACGTAAAAAGCAAAAATGTGATTTAAATGATAAAATTTTTGTTGAATCGAACGAAAAATCAAATACCTCAGATCAAAGCACAGACGACGATTCGCTTCTATGCAAATTTAATCCCAATACCGTTCAAAGTGTACCTTCCACGTCATTCAATCCATCATCCATAATCCCAAACACTCGCGATCAATGGATTACCTTTGTAGCGAAGATACTTGATTATCCAGATATAGCGAGAGGTCGTGCTATACAAATCATGGATGATGTTCGAGGTTTGTTGAAAAATGTTTTACAAAAGAGCAGTAATACCGTCTCCGATATTCTGGACTTGGAAATTTCTAATATTGATATCAAGGAGAGAGTTAAAACACAGGTAGAAAATATCATTCATGATCACTGTAGGTCAGTCGACAGCCTCGGTACAGAACATCTGCTTTTTCAAGCATTTAAAAAATCTAAGAATTACATTCTCCCCGAATCATCCCCTTTAGGTGAAATAAAAGACTATCGCAAGAAAGATGAAACGAATGAATATAAGATGGGATCAATGAATGCTCAATTCATAAAACTTCGTTTCGTTTTCCAGAAACTCTTCGAATTACCTTCAATTTTTGATGAAACATTGGAATATTGCGAGTCATTGAAAAATAATGCGACGGTTATTGAAAATTTCATCCAAGGAGACCTTTGGAGACATCTCAGTAAAAATGATGGAAATGAAATTGTTTTCCCTCTGTTTTTGTAATTCGATCATTATGAGAATAATAACCCGTTGGGAAGTCATCACGGAGTGTCTAAATGCGGTGCGGTTTATGCCTCAATACCTTGCTTACCTCCGAGATTCCAATCTAAACTAGAAAATATTTTTTTATTTATCCTCTTCAATACCTTAGATCGAAAAATTTTCAAGCATGCGATAATCTTTGCGAAAGTCCGGGAAGGATTAGAATTTTTAGAAAACGTAAGAATTTCCATTAAAAGTCCGGAGGGAAATAAAACCATTTACTTTCGACTAGCGTTAATGATCGGAGATAATTTAGGTGTACACTCTCTATTAGGATTCACAGAAAGCTTCAACCAAAAAAGATTCTGTCGTTTTTGTTTAACAAATAGGTCTGATATAAATTCTATTTTCGTGGAAGATCAGTGTGCTCTACGGACTGAATCAAATTATGAATCTGATCTAATTTTGAATAATGCTAAAAAAACAGGAATAGTTGAAAGATGTGTGCTACAGGGTATTGGGGGTTTCCACCCTGCCAAAAATTTAGCTGTGGATGTAGCTCATGATCTGTTGGAAGGGACTTGCAGGTATGATGTTGGTCTAATTATTCACTATTTCATAAAAAAAAAAATAATTACACTCGCTCGATTGAACAACCTCATCAAAGGCTGCAATTATGGTTCAATAAAGAATAAACCTCCAGAAATACTTGAACATCATATAAAAAACAAATATATCATAATGTCGGCTTCAGAGATGCTTACATCAGTCGTACACTTACCCATGATACTTCATCATCTAATTCCTCACGATGATACAATTTGGCAATTAATTTTATCTATGCAAAAGATTATCAACATTTTAACGAGTTACGAGATAGAAAAGGATGATCATTTAGTGTTGAACATTTTGATTTCTGAATACCTGGAATGACTAACAGAAAGTTCCCCTGCATCCCTTAAGTCTAAACACCGCTTTCTAGTTCACTATGGGAGAGTATTGCATCTTTGTGGTCCGCTTTGGAAAATTTCTACCATGTGGTTTGAAGCGAAACATCGAGAAGAAAAAATAACTTCTCGTGTAGCAGTAAGCCGTGTCAATGTTTGTAGGACTATTGCTATCAAACACCAACTTCGTCAAAATTACCGATTTTTAATGAAGTATGTCCGGGAAAGGATTGTATATGATGCAAAGTCAATGAAAATCATACCAAAAATTTATTTGACTGGATATTTTGACCTTTTGGAATCGTCGCCTGCACTAATAAACACATTGAATGAGAATATTAATACTCTTAAGACAATTGATTTCGGCGGAAAAGTGATAAAAGCTGGTAATATTGTTATGATACCAAGCGAAGATGAGCCTATTTTTCATCAAGTGAACACTATAATTCAGGAGTCTTCCACGGAGTATTATTTGATTGTTAAAAAGTTATTGGCGGTATTTTGGAATGAGCATCCAGAATGCTATCAAGTACAACAACAGAAATATCAGTGGCAAGTACTTGACTATCGAGCCATTATTAGTAATATAATACATATAACAAGCGGCGACAGTAGCCACGCGGGCGGTGTGTGACTCCGGCGATCACCCAAGCTAAGCAACGCTCAGTTGGGTTAGTACTTGGATGGGTGCCCGCTTAGTCACACCCATCGGCGTGTAGACTGCCGCCGTCAGGCACGGGTGCGGAGAGCTGGTGTGTTCACCGAGTCAGTGTGACTGATGAACACAGCAGAATCCCCGCAGTACCGGCCGGCTGCGCTACTGAGGTTTTACATGGTTTCCCTCAGTACACGCCAAATGGGCGCAGTACAGAAAGTTGGCCCATGCTACAGCAAAAATAATGAGAGGATAGTAGGAGAGGCTAATGAGAGGATAGTAGGAGAGGCTAATGAGAGGATAGTAGGAGAGGCTAAAAGGCTAAGACGAAGGGGCGCCTATCAAACCATGGTAACAATGGTAATAGGAAAAGGAAAAATGTAAAAATAAAAAAAAATAATAATACATATAACACGTTTCATTCGAGCTTCGAACGGTGCGAGGTTTATCGTTAAGAACTGGTTATAATTTAACTTTAAGCAAAAAAATTATTAAATACATGCTCATGTGATGATGTAGAATGTATTATCAAAAAACTGGTTTCAGTATACGTTAAAGAACAAAATGCTAATAATAAACGCCATTTTTTAAATGTTATTTTTAGATTAAATTCCAAATCCCCACCATCGAGATTTATTTAAAAAAAAAAAAACAATTCAAAGGTAAAAATTTTCAATCAGCTGAATAAAAAATGATAAAGTATCAAGAAATATTGATAACTTAAGAAGGATTTTTTCATTGTGAGCAAAAGAAATTATGCCAAATTGCTAAACAAATTTTCGAGGTTGGTAAAGAAGTTTTCCAGAGTACCATAACGAATTTTGCAGTGCTGTCACGGATATTTTCGATATGTTGTTTTATACTTTTTATTCAACCCGTTCAAGCAAAAATTCGCCATGTACACAGTGTTTTTTACTTAGCTGACACTTTGCGCTCTGATTATGGGAAAGCACTGTAATTTTTCTAGAACTTTCCATACTAAAATTGCTGGAATTTTCTCTCCGTGTAGGGTACAATCTATCGGTTCCAATTTTCGTGAACAATTGCTTGATGACATTTCTCAATGTCATCATTTTTCATTACAATTAGATGAATCAACCAATACCGCCGGTCATGCTCAAGTACTTGTTTTCGTTCGTTTTTCGTTACCGGATATGTCTGTACCGTATGTCTGTAATAGAAGAAATGCTGACACTTTTTCCAATAAAAAACAGCGTCGGGAGAAGAAATTTTTAGAGCATTCAAAGATGAACTCATTCTGGCGAAAATACCTTTAAATAAATTAGTTTGCATTGCAACGGACGGGGCTGCAAATATGACCGGAAAGTTGAAAGGTTTTCTCACTCGATGCGGTAACGATTCGGATTTTCCACCGTTTAGATCTATGCATTGCATGTTACATAGATTACCTCTTTGTATGAAGAAAATATCTATCGACAAGGTTTTCAATTTAGTTGTGAAAATTGTGAACTCGATTCTAGTGAAGCCGCTCGCCAAGCGACTTTATGAAGAGTTCATAAAGGCGAATGAATTAGATGCGCGAAATTTAGTTTACTATACAGAAGTTAGGTGGTTAAGTAAAGGGGTCACGCTGAAGCGATTTTATGAAAATTTGCCCGCAATTATCAGTTTTATTAAAGAGGAATTTGATGGCGAATATACTGAACTGAATGATTTCGAATGACTTACACAACTAGCATATCTTGTTGCTCTGACTAAACTCATTAACAATATTAATCTTCGAATGCAAGGAAACGGGAAAGTTTTGTGAGATTACGTGCAGGCAGTAACCGCGTTGAGAACATTAATTAACAGAATCCAATCTAATTTTTCTAAAAATCTAGTTCCGTCTATGTTCGCTGCGTTAGAATCAATAGTAAAGGGATACAGCAGCACAGCATTCAATGGCCAGCCTTTCGCAGAATTGACGCAGCAATTATACGACGATTTAAATCAGCGGTTTCCCAATATAGATGATCTACAGTACGTGTGTCAATTTTTC